GCGCTGCTCAGGAGCCCGAACGCGCCCTCGCGCATGTCCAAATGGGCGGTGTTCCTTGGAGCTTTCCAGATCGAATTCAAGCCAAGGCCAGCGATCAAGGGCCAAGCGCTAGCTGACTTCGTGGTGGAGTGCACCGCTCGGGAGGAGCCGAGCCTCGAAGAGCCGGAAGCCGACGACTGGTGGATAGTTTTTACCGACGGCTCCTCCGCCGCCAAAAACTCGGGGGGTGGAGTGGTAGTCATCGCGCCCGAAGGCTTCAGAGCGTATTACTCAATTCGATTCGGTTTCAAGGCATCAAATAATGAAGCGGAATATGAAGCGCTCTTGTGCGGGCTACGCCTAGCAGCCGGGATGAACGCAACAAAGCTAAGGGTAAAGTGTGATTCAAAGCTGGTGGTTGGCCACGTCTCGGGAGAGTTCGAGGCGAAGGACGAAAGAATGAAGAAGTACAGAGATGCCGCTCTAGAGTTACTTAAGAGTTTCACCGCGTATAGTGTGGAGCAGATCCCTCGGGCGGAGAATGCCGAGGCGGATATCTTGTCGAAGCTGAGCTCGGACACGCCTGGATGAGGGTCAAACACTCGTGCTCGGCGGATATCTTGTCGAAGCTGAGCGCAGACCATACCCGGATGTTCTTCCCGGATGAAGGTCAAACACTCGTGCTTGGCCCTCCCCCTCGGGAGGAAGGCCGAGCGCAGACCATACCCGGATGTTCTTCCCGGATGAAGGTCAAACACTCGTGCTCGGCGCTCCTCCTCAGGAGGAAGACCGAGCGCAGACCATACCCGGATGTTCTTCCCGGATGAAGGTCAAACACTCGTGCTTGGCCCTCCTCCTCAGGAGGAAGGCCGAGCGCAGACCATACCCGGATGTTCTTCCCGGATGAAGGTCGAGCGCAGACCATACCCGGATGTTCTTCCCGGATGAGGGTCAAACACTCGTGCTCGGCGCTCCTCCTCAGAAGGAAGGCCGAGCGCAGACCATACCCGGATGTTCTTCCCGGATGAAGGTCAAACACTCGTGCTTGGCCCTCCCCCTCAGGAGGAAGGCCGAGCGAAAACCATACACGGATGTTCTTCTCGGATGAGGGTCAAACACTCGTGCTCGGCGCTCCTCCTCAGAAGGAAGGCCGAGCGCAGACCATATTCGGATGTTCTTCCCGGATGAAGGTCAAACACTTGTGCTTGGCCCTCCCCCTCGGGAGGAAGGCCGAGCGCAGATCATACCCGGATGTTCTTCCCGGATGAGGGTCAAACACTCGTGCTCGGCGCTCCTCCTCAGATGGAAGGCCGAGCGCAGACCATACCCGGATGTTCTTCCTGGATGAAGGTCGAACACTCGTGCTTGCCCCCCCCCTCGGGAGGAAGGCCGAGCGCAGACCATACCTGGATTTTCTTCCCGGATGGAGGTCAAACATCCGCGCTCGGCGCTCCTCCCTGGGAGGGAAGCCGAGCGCAGGCCATACCCGGATGTTCTTCCCGGATGGAGGTCAAACACTCACGCTCAAAATAATAACTAAAAAACGAGACATAAAATCAAAGTCATATCTTATTCATCCCGGAAAAAGCGTGAACACGGCCCCGCATGGGCGAGCGCAAGCGTGAGCACGGCTCCGCATTAGCAAGCCCAAACATTCCATCAAACGGCCGTTCCGATTCCAAAACTTATTCAAGAAAATGCGACTGAGAATCAAAGTAAGGCGATAAAGGCATCGCAAACCACGAAGAGTCAAGGGTAATAGTTACGCAGTGCAAAATACATTGTTCGAGCACAAAAATCAGTACATCAAAAAAAAACTAAGGGTGGAGTTTATCGGTGGGCCAGACGCGCTCAGTTACCAGCGGTGTCCACACCCCCGCCAATGGCGTCCTCGTCCTCGGAGTAGTAGATGGATGAGTCAAACTCCTCAGGGTTCTCGCATGGCTTCGGTAGCTCCTTCCCATCTCTGATCCGCTCTAGCAAGACTTCTTGAGCCCGTTGCAAACCCATGGAGTAATTGGCCTGCCCCTCTTTGAAGAGGAAACGTTGGCCGGCAGAAGTTCGAGCCCAGCTCTTCAGGAGATCGTCCATGCGGGCGAGAGCCGCCTCCTCGAACTCGGGGGAGGTCTGAAAGGCCTCGACCACGTGCTCGGCTTCCTCGTCCAGGCGGCGTGCCTTCTCCTCAGCAGCAGTGCGAGCCCGCTCTGAAGCCCGAGCCCGCTCCTCGGCATTAGCAAGCTCCCCCTCGAGGCCAGCCACGTGCTCCTGCAACCTCCGAAGCTCCTCTTCGCCTTTTGCCTTCTCCGCCACATACCACTCGAAGCGCTCCACCAGCTCTGGGGCGCGCATGGCCACCTACAACAACAATGAAAATCCGGGAAAATTTGTTAGAATCCATCTAAGTGTCGGGCAGAAACGCACGTCATACCCGAGCAAAGAACGCTTACCGAGCCCAACTCGAGCAAGAGAGTGGAGGCGAGGTCTTCCGAGGCGGCCGAACTTATCTCCATTCGGTCTGGCGGAGGGATGAAGCTCTGCAGAAAACGGCGAGGCTCATAGTCCCCATGCAAGAACGAAGGCTTGAGGGGGAACGCCACCTTCACGAAGGCCGAGTTTCCGCAGTCCACCGAACGCGAGGGTGGAGACTTCGCCCCGCTCAGCGAAGCCCCTTCCATCGAGGAGCTCACATCCTTGCGCTTCTTACTCGCCTGGGCATGCTCGGCGGACGGTGTTGGAGTTGGAAGCGGAGGTCGTTCTTGGCCGAGCTCCGATCGTGGCTTGGACTTGAACAGCTTCTTCCTATCAGCCGCGGAGATCATGATTTCACCTGCAAGGAAGATAAGATATTAGTTCGAATCCCTACAAGGAGCCCAAACCCGCTAAGGAAGTGAACGAGGGAAACCTGAGGGTCCTTCTTCAAGCTGACTCTGGACAACCCGGCGCTTGGGCTCGTCCTCGTCATGGAAGACGAACCCAAACTTGGACAGAGCCTCGTCATTCACTAAGACCCCAGGCTCGTAAGGGCCACCCGAACACAACTTGTCCGTATCAGCGATAGCCTTGGAAGAGGCAAAGGGTTTTGCTCGTCTACGAAAAGAACTGAGGGGGGACTCTCGGAAGGGGGAGGTTGACCCCACGGAGACGAAGACAAACTTGGACTTCCAAGTCTTGTTGGATTCCTTCTTGGTTTTAAAAAGTCTCTCTTGCCGCTGGCAGAGGGCGGCGAAAGAACCCCCATCCGACCCGGAAGACTTTGCCACTCGGAACAAAGTCATTAGGCGCTCAACGTCGGCTCGCACGCCCATCTCCCGGCAGCGGATCAAGAACCCCGCTAAGTACCGGTGGGAGTTCGGCACCAGTTGGCACGGGAGGAAGTCAAAGTACTTGAAGAAGTCGATGACCAGAGATTCGAGGGGGAAGCGGAAGCCACTCTCAAGGGACTTGAGATGGATGGAAAAGTAGCCCGGATGAGCGTCGAAGACTGACTCATCCGGGGTAGGGCGACGGACGGTGACAAGGGGGCCGGTGTAGCGCACCACCTTGAGAAACTCGTCACTCGACAAGTCGCACTTGCACTCGCGGATGAGCGAGTCCACGAGCAAGGTTCGTTTCTGGAGGCGAGGCTCACTAACCCCGGGCACCTCGACAGCCGCGATCTCCTTAACGGACGGGGAACCCGGCTGCTCCGCTCGGTCGCCCTGGGCCACGGAACCATGACTTTCGGGCCCGAGCTCGCGCTCGGCCTCGGACGTGCGAACAGAGGAAGACTCGTTAGACATGGAATAGCAGGGCAGAGGAACTGACCTCGAAGGAACGCCGCTGGGGGAGAGTGGGAAGCAACGAACGGCGACGTGTGAGAAGGGAAGCAGAGAGCGGCGGCGCGGAAAGATGGTTAATGCCAAACCCTAATGTTTTCTCTCTCTAGAATGTGTGAGAATGAGGGAAGCCTTGGGGCTATTTATACTAAAAGTGGGCCCGAATAGTGATGGGCCGAACAGGTGTCACGATGGGCCGCCACTTGGGAGAAGCGATGTGCCACAACCGTTCGTGGGGAACTCCAAACGTCGCCGCCGATCCGTCAAGCTACGCGTGGGCCCACGAGCAGACCGTCCACAATGTTTTCTACTCTCACGCGCTCCGCTGCTAGACGCCATGGAACCCGGAGAGTGGGGGGCTTCTGATGGGGAATAACCCCACGCCAGCACTAGGGCTGACATCAGCATAAATTTCCTAAGTATCGGGCTTGGACGTTCCTGCCCGGCCCAGAGCTCCGCTCGTCTTCCTGCTCGGCCCAGAGCTCCGCTCGTCCTGCTGCCCGGCTCTGCGCTCCGCTCGTCCCTCCTGCTCGGCTCGGCCAGCCAAGCCGAGCACGAACCCCGCGACAACGATGTACGGAAAGCGACGTTCAACGAAGACTTGGTGAAAGCGATAGGATGAAAGGGACAAGACCTAAGGACAGGTGACGTCCGCTAAACGACGAGCCTCGATCAGAGGGCTTTGACTTAGTGAATTGTACCGCCTATAAAAGGGGTGGCACCCCTCATTGTAATGGATCCCAAGTTTGAAATCAATATACTCCTACTTTGCATTCTCTCTCTCTAAAACTTCTATTATTTCATACTCTCGGTGGTTTATAGCCATCACATACATACATACATACATACATACATACATACATACATACATACATACATACATATACACACACGGGTTGGTTCAAGGTAAGTGAGAATGATTCTTACTTCGAAAATAGACCTTATGGTGAGAATGAGAATGATGCTTATACCATCACGATGCATTTTTACATTGTGATAGTGTATTTTTTATAATGGGAGTAAAGTTCAACTTATTTATCAGAATGTACCGCGTGATATCAAATTATTTTAGTTTGTTTTTTTTATTTTTTGACACTCTAAGATCTTATATCTAATGCACGAGATGCATTCTTATTTCTTTCGTTATATTGTTTAATAAGGGAGTAGTCCTATTCAGGAGGAGTGGATGATATAGGTCAGAGCCGCCGAGTGGGGACACAAATGGGATCGACAATAATGGATGCATCCATGCATGAAATTCCAAAAATAACCCATGCAAGACAACTCAAAGAAGCTAGCTAGATTAGGCACTATATATACACACATAGTGATAGCTAGTATATAGCGTGATTCCATGCATGGTTCAATATATATATATAATGGGTTTTTGTCGTGTCGTCACACCTTAATTATATATATATATATATATATATATATATATATATATATATATATATATATATATATATATATATATATATATATATATATATATATATATATATATATGCAGAAGATCAGACATGCATGGCAGCTAGCTGGCAATTTTGACTATATGGTTTGGATCGGAGCCCTCCCCTCTGCCAAACATATACATGGCTGGCATCCAATTTATATCTTGTATTCTGTCCCTAAAATCTTCCCTTTCATTTTTCTTAATCTTTAATTCACTAAAACATTTTTACTTTTATTTAAAAACTAAAATTTACTTTTAAGTTTTTCTAACGATACATATCACATCATATTTTTTCACTAATAATCTACTCATCACATTTTACTTTTACTCATCATTTCAAGGGCAAAATTGAAAAATCAACTACAAGAACTCCTTATTTCTCCCATTAATCAAAATAGGGTCCGTTTTGGTGAATGGAGGGAGTAGATCTAAATGCAGAGTAATTAAAATATACTTCTCTCATCCATTAATTTCTTTTTCCCCCTCCTTTTTGAATCGTCCACATTTTTCTCTAATTTCTATTTTGGTAAAAACATTTAATAAATGTGTCATTATGCTCATACTTTTTATCTATTATATTATATTCACTTTATTTCATCACATTAAGGGTAAACATGAAAATACTTTATATTTTCTAATTTCTCTTTGTGCGAAGCTAAAATGGGAAAGAAATTGTTGGACAGAGGGCGTATATGCAGAAGAATAAGTAGAATGTAAGCAGGGTAGTCCTTGAAAAATAAAGGGTTCGGCACCACACTGAGAAAATGAGTCATTCTGTCATAATGAAGTAAAGTCTATCAATTACCTTAGTTTTTGTTTAACAGTAATTAACACTGTAGTAATAAGAATAATGAAATGTGCAACGCTTAGTATTTTAATTAATTTAAACAAATAATTAAATACCAAGTCGGACTGGAAATAAGATTTTTTTAAATAGTCTTTATAATGTGGGAAATTGTTCTATGACGTAGGGTCCATTGTTTCTGAACCCGACTACGTGACCGGATCACGAATCAATATTAGTAGGTCTAACTAATACTGATTGAAGAACCGGGTAATTGGGCTTAAAGTGGTCCTAATTGAACTAGCATTCCTTCTAAATGGGTAGAGACGATTTCGGAACCAAAACCCGAAGCGTATCCGATCCAATGAAGACCGATCACAAAAGGGCTTCGCGGGAAGAATGGGAGAGGAAAGCATGCATGCATGGCGCCATACTGTACACGAGCGGCGGAACTCTAAAAGAAAATTAAGTTACGTCATCATTCAGGCGATCGAGCAGTCCGGCGGCGAGGCCAGCTGGCCGGATAATTTATAAATTAAACAGCTGTAACAAAGATACATATGACTCATCCGTATCGCCCATTCAATCCCTAATTTTTTATTCCTTAATTTATTTGTAGCAATTTCTAATGTCACACCAACTAAAATAACATCGGTCCAAAAGGTGGAATCGCCCACCCCAGGCGCCCCCACCCTCTTGCCCGACAGAAATGGTGGAGGATGTAAATCATGGTGACTCAGTTGGCCAATAACGCTAGACCCGTGCCCACCGCGCACAAGGAGCCTCCTCACCAACTAAAATAACATCTCTTCGATGCCAGTGGTTTTAGGCACGTAAAATCGATGATTCCTATCACCCCCAATCCCCTAAATAGCTAAACCCCCGACCAATCAATTTCACCCCTACCCCGCCGCAACCCCTCTAGATCGCCGATTGTGTTATTTTTTCAACTGTGGACCTGTGGTAATGTTGTTTTACAAAAAAAAATATACATAATTATCGAAAATCATTCACAAGTTTTGTAGACTATTTTTTAAAAATAATACTCCGTAATAGATAAGTATCAAACAACAATTCCAAGTGCCCCTCAATAAAATAATGACAACTTACAAAAAATGTACTTTCTAGTAAGTTATGAAATGAATAAATTACTTCCATTGTATAGAATAATTTATTGTCTAATTTCACAGATTTTGAATTAATATTTTAGAAAAAGAGAATTATTACCTGATTATCGATTACTGAAAAAATAATTAGTTTACTCTAAAAATACTTAAATTTGTACTCCCTCCGTTCCTTTAAACCCTTCCACTTTTGACTTTTGGCAAAAATAAGGAAAGTGTAATTTTGGTTGACTTTCCAATTTTGTCCCTGATGTGATGGGTAAAATTAAGATATGATTGTTTGGTTATTAGAGAAAAAGTATGATGTGATAGGTAGGGTATGAAAAAGTAAGGGTAAAAGTGGTTTTTTAATAGAAAGTGGAAGTGATTTAGGGAATTCAAAAAAAACGAAAGAGGAAGGGTTTTATGGAACAGAGGGAGTATTATTTATTAAAAATATTTTTTAAAAAATTTATTTAAATTTAGAAATTAAAAAAAGAAAAAAGAGAATTTACCTAAAAATGTCATACCTTTCATTTATTTGTAAAAAACAAGAATTTTCTAAAAAAATCGTTAAATAACCGTTAGCACCCTAACAGTGAACTAAAACTTGCACACATGAGAAAATGTATGATTTTTTCGTGATAATGATAAGTGAGATTATTTGTGACAATTTTCTCAGTATTTTTCACTTTTTTGAAAAAAATAATTTATGCTCTTTGAAAATGAGACAAAGACTTTATATGAGTCAACAATGTGGACATTTATGGTCCATTTACCCCGAGTAAATAATTCCTCATAATTAGTAACATTCCAGTTAGGCGTAAAATTGATTCTACATATTTGTGTTTGTGTCGAGATTTAGATCATTTAGATCATGATCTCTTCAACTTATTTTTTTATTTTTATTACTTATTTTTATTAGAATCAGATCAAACTATATTATATTAGAAATAATTTGAAATATAACTACATTCAATTCAGATAAGATCAGAACCAATTAGATCAGACAAAGAAAAAATGATCTTAAGCCATGTTCTCTTCACTCGATCGGATTGATTCAGATATGATTTGAATAAGTTCTGATCAGACATGATCAGACGATTCTAATAAGAATAAGTAATAAATTTAAAAATAAATTGAGAAGAACACGACATTAATCTTGTCATTTAACTTTTTACGATCTCTTATTCATCACTTTAACCATATACTCCCTCCTTCACACAATTATATTCACGTTGCGCATTACAATGTTTCTCTAAAGCTATTGTAAAATCATTTTATATGAAAATGATGTGGAATTTAAAAAACTAAATCAAAAGACCTTAAACAATATCTAGTAGCAAAAACAATGTCTATTGGCGGTGGATATTTACCTTTAAGAATGCCTAGTGATGATGAATATTTACTTGAACAATGTCGATCTAGTGGACATTGAACTGTTATATTAATTGAAAATTTAAAACATATAGTATTAGATTAGAAATTCACTATTTTTAGTACTATTGTTAAGAGTATCCCACATCGGAAAAGTGTGAGAAAAATAATCGGTATATAAGTTCTTGAGTTAACTAATTAATCGATTGGATTCAATCTTTTAATGTGGTTCAACCCAAGTATCTTATTACCCAATCTAGTTGTCCATACCCATCTCAAATTCTATCAACTATATATATAAATTTCCGGATAAATATGAATAGATACTAAATTACAAGTATAATAAAATGAGTGGTACTAAAATGGTTAATATTAAAGCTAATTTTAGGGTTAAATTCACTCTGATATTCTTGTGTCCCGTATATACAACCATAATGAACTATGCTACTTTTAAGACAAACTTAAATTATTAAGGATTATTTTAAGAGAAAGTCTTTCGTTGTTTGAAAGTTTATTTGAAGAAAAAAGCATAAAAGGAGTGGAGTGTATGATTTCAACCACTTCATAATTTCCACGTACATTCAGATCGGGTAATTTGATTAATCGATTCAGTTTCATTTTGAATTTCTTGTGTGATTTTGATATACTCTCCCCATTCCAAAATGAATTACACACTCGTGGTTTTAAAAAGATTTTTTGGCATTGAAAAATATAAAAATAATATACTTACAAACAAATCAAAAAATTTAAAAAACATAATGTGATAAGTCTTTTTTATTTTATCAAATGATCTATGAAAATGTATATTCAAATAAACAAAAGTTATCAAAAATATGTAAAAATAAAGAGATAAATCATTTTGAAAGAAGATGAGTATTGCAGTTTGGTTTTCTTCTTTTCAGCTTCTTGCAATATCTGTTTCTCCGTTTATCGATTCGGTTCGGGAATGATTCAATTCAATTTGGTATGATTCATAATAAAGATTTTGAATATTCCTGGGGATCTCTGCTTGGATTTCTTATATCTAGACAAAAATAGATACATACAGATATTCAATGTTTCGAGGAAATATTAATCAACTTGATTTAAGCCAGTCTTTAGTTCCTTACTAATGCTACGTTTCATATGGTGGTCCTCGATTGTAGTCTTGTCATTTCTACTGGCTTTAATTTGTTTTACTCCCCATTTCAAAGACGTGTCAAGATATTTATAAAATTTATGAACATTTTATATGTGAATCAAACATATCTTAATTTTCTTTCGTTTTGGAATAGAGAACAATAGGAGTACTTTTTTCAAGTAAACAGAGTGGGGATTTTATTGCAAGCCAAACGCGGATTACATCACAACCCATCACCGTCTTCGTTTGACTACGACAGCAAACTTTCCCCTAATCCAGACAACATAAAACGTCAAACCAAACAGGCCACAAACTTTTTTTATTTATATCTATTTAAAAAAAAAAAAGAAGACCAGCAGCACACGTCACTTTAACAAGCCCGCGGAAATAGCTAACTAAAACGGGTCGGGTGAGACCCGGATTAGATCGCCAAAACAAGTCCGGGCACGGATCTTCCGACCCGATTGGAGAGGCTGCTCTCCCAAACAGAGGGGCAGTGGGCGGCTGGCGCGGACCGGGCTCGGGTTCCGAGCCGGGTCACGGTGAGGGAGGTGTTGAAGTACTCCCGGACCTGGGTAATTATCCCATCCGTGACGGTCCAGGCGTGGACCCAGGTGATGTTCCGGTCGGAATCGCAGCCCTCGACGAAGACGGTGGGGCCGATCGCATCAACGGTGAGCGGGACGAATCGGAACGAATCGGACGACGGCGGTGCGGCGCCGGTGAGGACGCGCATCAAAAACTGGCACGACGGCGGGCCGTGGAACCACCACTCGAGGTCGGAGTCCAGAAGCTTCTGGACCAGATCCACGTCGCGCGATCTCAAGGCCTCATACAGGGCGAGCACCACCCTCTCGTTTCTGGATTCTTCCAGAGTTTTCTCCTCAGCGTTAGCCAGACCTGAAAGAGATTTTGATTTTTAAGGGGGGGAAACGAAGGAGATGAAGAAATGGGAGACGAAGACGATAACCGAATCTCCTGGAAATGGGCAGGGGCAAGGTAAAGAGCGACGGGATGGTGGATAGGTTTATATAGGGGAAATATGCGGAAATCGAAGGGCGTTTTTGGCATTTTACATGCGCAGAAGAAGGGCAATGCGGGAAATCTATAGTGGACCACGGGATTACGTGGCAATATCCGTTTGGTTAGATATGCGGGGCCGACGTTGAAAAAGTCCCCAACGCGTAGTCCAGCTCTTTTTCTATTGACTATCGCGAAAAATAACAAAAAGAAAATTGTTAACTGCATGGTTTTAAAAATAGACATGACCGGTCGGTGTGGATCGTGAACCGGCAAACCAGTAGTTCGACCAGTGATTTGATCAATTTGGTAGTCGGTCCAGTTTTTTAAACTATGATTAAATGTACTCTGACTCTGAGGTCTCTTTCTTTTTTATTGTTATTTTTTATTGTTATTTTTTAGGGATTCAATATTATTTTGTGTCTGTAACATTGTTAAATAGCACTGGTAGCTCTCGTAATTTTATAAAATACCAGAGTAGGTACCAATATCAGTATACCACGTATTTTCAAAACTTACTTCAAAAGTATTCGTGGTTTCAAAATGTTGTCTCCGTACTCTCTGTGATCATTTTCCCTCCATTTTTCAGCAAAAAAGATGCATTGATGTCTATTTTCGAAAGCATAATAGACACTCGTGTTCATTTCTTATATGTTGCTTTTCTTATTTTTTTTCCTTTATTTGTTTTTTTAATCAAGGTTTTTCTAAATTTCTTTTTAAAATAAAAAAGTATTACCTCCGTCCCACTCTTTTTGTCCAGTTTTTACTTTTGGAACTGTTCCCCTGAGAACTTTGACTCATCAAATTCTCTCCTAAAAATAGTCACGTGTGATTTTGTTTGATTTGTCTTAACATATAGATTATTAATATATAATTTTTATAATTTTTTAATATATACTAGATAAAATGGATTAAAGAAGTGCATTGGATGGTGTGCAAAAATGAAAGTGGACAAAAAGAGTGGGACGGAGGGAGTATGTCTGAAATTAATATTTTTTTATTTTCTAAAATAAAAATTTTAATTTTTTTTGAGAACTTCAAAAAATAAGAAATAAAATAAGAGAACTTTTCTCATCATTTGAGTGGTAGAAAGCCCGTTCTCCAGGACTAATGAGAAACTTCACTCAGGTTCGAGTCCCAACAGAGGTCGATGCGTTGACCCTTTGTACGTCATTAAGTTGAGAAATGTATGAATAAATACTGCATTGTAATAGAGACAATAGTAGCATTTAGAACAAAGGAATGAAGTAAGAAATATTATAAAACAAAAAAATAAAATTGAATATCTTTTTTTGGACATCCCAATTCTAAGGACTCTTCAGCGTTCTAAAAAGTCCTTTTTGTATAAGATTATTTTTTGCATGTTTTGATTTTTTTCATTTCGTTTTCCGTATTTTTATTTTTTATTATGTATTTTATTTATGAACTTAACGGAAAAAAATATTAGAAAAAACAAAAAGTGAAAATGTTTATTTGAGATGGATGGAGAATATGTTATTTTTTTAAATTTTTATTTCAAACACAAAGAATTTAGGTTTTTTTAAAATATTTTTAAAAAATAAGTTTTAAAAACTTTTCTAGGAAAAGGGAACGAATAGATAAAAAGACATAAAGGAAAGAAAAAAACAAATAATGAACGAAAAAAAGAAATGAGCACAAATGTCCCATATGATTTAGAAAATAGGTATCATTATCTCCTCTTTATCGGAAAAAGACCTGGTAATGATCAAAGGGAGTGTGGTGTAACGTTTTGAAACCACGGGTTCTATTTTAGAGGACAAAATATACGAAGTCTTATTTTAATATAAATATCTTGTTTTCATTTTATCTAGATAAATATTTTTTTTAAAACTCTCCTCTTTTGTTTGCAACAACACCTACAATACACCGTTTGAAAATTATATTTGATATTTTCAATCCTTTTAAGTCCTCTACCTCCACCTCAATTCACTCCTGCCCTCTACGCCAGCTCCCCTCCCCTATGCAGGAGTCCAATTATTAAACGGACTTATTAGGACCAAACTCTGATCGCATGTCAAACTCTAGTTGGATCCCATTGTTGTTGACAAGCCAGCCTTTGTAGACTAACAATTTAAGGAAAAGCGAGGCCCATATTCACCTGAAAGTCTGGCTTAGAGCATAGGGAATGGAATACCACACGATGACATGAGGTATTCTAACCAATCAAAATCAGTTCAGTCAGCGTGTGGCAAGTGAGTAAAGTGGTATGTTTTGCAATGACAAGTCATTATTTTTTTAATTTTTACACTTTTTAACTTATTTTATTTATAAAAAATTACTTTACTTATTTTTTTATAAAAATGAATGTACTCCTTTTATAAAAAAATATTTTTTGTACAAAAAAAGTAAAAAAAAAAAAAACACAAAAAAAAGAGAGAAAGAGAGCATAGTTGCCACGGGCCTGACTTGATATGCAGGGTGACACAACTTACCACTCCTCGGCAAACATGGAAAAAACCTGATGTGGTAGGGCGAGGCAAGGGGGTGGCCTCGCCGCTGCCAATGCTCTTAACTGTAGTTAGATTTTTTTGAGTAGTACTTTGTATATAGAGTAGTTGACAAATTCTTATGTAATTCTTGCCTTCACACAAATTTTATAGACCCCATTATGCAAATAATATGAAGTATATATATAAAAATTGGGCCTTTTGTAATTAAGAAAAAAATTACTCGTATATATTAGCTTATAAAAAATGTCAGAAGTTTCATATTTCACATATTTGCTTAATATAAGTTAAATTATTTATTCTGTATAAAATATTAAAACATGAGAATTAATAGTGAGCTCCCGATTTAAAAAAATGTCCCAGTACAAAATATACGGAGTACTTCTTTCTTTACATCTAAACCAAAATATTTCCAAAAAGAAAAAGAAGAGACTTAGAGACAAAGCAATGCATCTAATCCCTGTAATCGAGTAAAATAAATAAGAAATATTTGTACTAAATAGCACTAAAACTTAAGTCATTTCCCTAAATAGTACTTAAATTGTTTTATTCCTAAATAGCACTTAATAATGTCCATAATGAACAGTGATGACAAACATTTACTTGAATAATGACTAATGCATAATGACTAAAAGTGCTACATTGGGAAAAAAAGTACAAGCAGTGCTATTTAGGGAAAATCATTATGTTTTAGTGCTATTTACGTAAATTTCTCAATAAACAAAACCTATTTTTATAATTCCTCCAACATTCTAAGTCTACCCCTCCGTCCACACAAAAAATTACAGTTATTTATTTAAAAATCACGATGTGTTATTTATTTGTATGCTTTCTTCAATTATTTGTTAAAATAAAATTATTCTTATTATCTTTTAATTTGAAGAATATTTTTTGTAGATTTTAAATATGTAAACTTTTTTTCTACCAATTTTTAAATTTAATGAATTGAAAAATTTTAAAATTTTACTTCGTTTTGCGTAATATTCGGTATGAAGGTGTAATTTTGTCAACATAAAATGTTAGTCGGTACCATGTAAATACGGAAATATATACGGATTAAAAAGAAAAAGAAGATCAACAAAAGTAATTACTTACACTAACGCCTTTTTTTCTACTAATTATTCTTTGTCTTGTCTCTCACGTATTCTCAAACATCGTTAAACACCCAAATAATTAAGTCATTAGTATAAATAGTGAATTATATTTACGTTCACCCAAATCAACAATGGCAATCGGAAGCCGGGAGTTTCAGAAGTGGGGTGCCGCGACGGCGGTCATGGCCGTCCTGGTGGTCTTCGCGGGCCCATCCATCATTGGGCCGGAGAGCATAGCGGGCTCGAAAAACGTCCTGACCATGGCGGAGATGATCCCGCTTCCGGTGGATGGGCCGGAGAGCAAGGACTGGGACCCAAGAGGGGAAGGTCCGTACGTCGGCGTCACCGACGGCCGCATTCTCAAGTGGCGCGGTAAGGATCTGGGGTGGGTCGAATTCGCCCACTCTACTCCCGACAGGTGATTTAATTTTAAAACATTTGCACTAAATAGCACTAAAAATTAAGTCATTTTTGTTGGGACTGCGCGTACCCTCACCCCAATCCTGCATTAGTATGATATTGTCCGCTCTGAGCCAAGCCCTCACGGATTTGTTTTTGAGCACTTCCCAAAAGGCCTCATACTAATGGGGTTGGGTGAACCTATATATTTTGGTTCATTTACTCCTACTCATCCGGTGTGGGACTTGGAGGAATCCCAACAAACCTCCCCTCATCCAAGGACCACACAACTTCCGACCTCCCCTCCAGCGGTAATTCTTTTTTTTTCTCTTTATCTGCTAACCATCTTGCACCGCCGCACACTCTTTGCGGGACACGCCGCCCGACCTCCTGTCGGTAGGGGTGGACACGGTACGGTTCCGGGACAGTTGCGGTTCCGGAACCGCCGGTTCCGGTACCGCCACCCCGAGTAACCGGAAATGATACCGTGCCGGCCGGTACCGGCTCCAGTTCCCGGACCGGCGGTTCCGGTACCAACCCGGCCGGTTTCGCCCCCCCCCCCCTATTTTTTTAAAAAAATTTTTAAATTATAAAATTGTAAATTTGCAATTGTTTAAGGAAAGAATGAAATAAAAAATCTAAAAATGTAGTTGTTATTTAAATATTGAAAATGAGTAATACACTAACTGAAGAACAACCACATTTAATATCCTGACGGTTCAAAAAAAGCAACGAGGTAAAGAACCGTAAAGAAACCCTCAAAGGAGCTTATATATCGCTCACCTAAAGCAACGAGCTTTATAACTTATTCTTCAGAACTCGGACTTCCATCTGTGGTTGCATTCATGTAATGCTCCGATTCGAGTTGATACGATGACTCTTGAGCCCGACGTCTTGCCAAGAGCCAATCTTGGTTGCAAACCAGTGTTTCAAGAGATTCAGCGTTAAGACAACTTCGGTAGTCGGTTAGAATGTTGCCGCCAGCACTGAATTCTCGTTCAACTGCTACGGTTGATACTGGGACGGACAACACTTGTCTTGCTAGCATGCCGAGACATGGGAACATGTTTTCGTTCCGCTTCCACTATCCGAGCACGTCAAAATCGACATCGTCGTCATCGTAATCGCATGGTACACCCTGGTACATAGCAAGTTCGTTGTGCGAGCTTACTGTTGTACCACTTGAACTCGTCGAAGACTAGGCACGTTTCCTTTTCTTTGCAAGAAGCCCACCGACTATGCCGGCAAAACCTTTTTTTGATTTCGGGGGCGGAGGTGGTGCTGTTTCTTCTTGTACAGTACCGTATAACCCTTGATATTCCTTAAACAAATCCTCAAAAAGAGTTATAGCATTATCTCTTTCATTTTTCCATTCTACTAAATAGCTGTAGTAATAACTATTTTTATCTAAAAAACAACTGTAGTAATACTCAATTAGAATTTTAAAATTTTCAATCTTAAATCGTGGATCACAAATAATACCTATTTTATAAATATCAGGAATGTACAAATAATAAGTACACCATTTATCTCTCATAGGAGAGACATAAGGGTACAAATCTGGATCAGCCATACTTTCACGAAAACATGTTGCGATTGTAATGCACTCTTTAAAAAATGTATTTGTAGTTGGTTGGTAAACATGGGAAAAAGTAAGAGTTGCGTTATTAAAAACTT